AATTTATTTTCCACGTCAATAAACAACCACTGGACCGAGGATGACGATGACGATGACGTTCATGTCTCTTTTGGAGTTGGCTAAGGCGTATCTTGGGTCAACTTAGGCATTGGACAGAATTGTATCGATTCTCATTACTACGTCAGAAATTATTCCCATTATCGCTGAACTTCCTCAGCGCACGCAGTCGAAAGATTCTCTCTTCTCCAATCTAGGGTCTCCTTGTTTTGGGTAGGGCATATCTTTCCGCTGTATATATACAGTCGATGTAGTGTGTTGTGTTGATGGGAATCTTAGGTTCAACTTGTCAAGATTCAAAATAGGTTAGGTTTGGGTTCTCCCAGTTGCTGATATGAGTCGCCATATCCAAGGTGGAAAGGCTAAGCCTCTGAAGGCTCCCAAGTCGGGGAAGCAGGATGATGCTGATACTATTGCCATGAAGAAACAGATGGTGAGTGACTTGACGTCACTTCTCTTCACTGATGGTTCCCTTCAGAATGAGAAGAAGGCTGCTGAGAAAGCTGCCGCTAAGGCGTTGTTGGCAAAGAAAAAGAGTATCAAATAAGATGACAATCGTTCATACTGAATTTCACCATTGTTGGGTATCTCTCAGTCTTGTTGTGTTGTACAAGTTAGGTATGTGTCTCTGTGCTCCGAAATCACATCATAGAGATAGTTTATATCGGAGGCCGTAACGGCTCACGGTTCTGTACTCCAATCATCTTGACAGTATAGCTCAACAATCACTGACGTACATAGGGTATCTTTGGCCCAAAGACTTTGGGTGCTCTGGCCAAAGGCACTTGTGAGATCAAAGAACTCTTACCCTGCCAAACTATCAAAAAAGGGGTATTGTGGAAAACATCTCAACTCAAGGGATATGATATGTAACTCTTGATTCTGATGCATGGGTAAGCAGAGCTCGAGTCGCTTTCGCTACGAGAACGAGCAGTGATGTACAAGATCGCGGTTCGGTCGTCATTAACATCATTTCGCGCACAGTTGTGGAATATTACATATTCGAGACATGATGTTCCAAAAGTTGAGTAGTAGAAGTAGTAATACTGTAGTACTGCCGTAATATGAAGTGGTACACT